TAAGCGCTGGTTTCTAAACAAAAAAGGCGTCTACTTTTTCGAAATTATAACTGTTAACTTTGACGAACATTCCGAAGCGAATATAAAGTTTAGTTGGTGACAGCATAAAGGTACTTTGTGCTTTGTCCTCTTTCACCTCCAAGCTCAATCGCTTTGCCTTCATATCCAACTTGGAAATAATGGAAAAAACGTAGCAATTATTTTTATCGATGAAAAATTTTTCTTAAGTGCAGCTCTTATTATTTTCAGTATGCATTCAATAATTATTTTATGATACTTTCGGGATTAAATTAAACAAATCACGGGATATGAAGTAGCCCAGCCTGACCATCTGCTTGGTATTACACGTCTAGTCGCTCTAGTAGTTTATGTAGGTGGCTGTGCAATATCTTTACCAGCCCTTGTAGAGCACCCTTTCTTATGTAACTCACAAACGAGGAAATCCAAATTGATTGCTCTTGAATTGAGTTGAAGTGAGGGGGAAGATGGCAACTCTGCCTTAAATTACATGACTTAAAAAATTACAGGAGCATATATAAAAAGAAAATTAAAGATAAATAAACAGGGTATATGATAATATGCCGGCTTAAGCGAAAAAAAAAAATTCAAGCTCGCGGACCAAAAAAAACAAAAAAATGTTCAAAACAATTTTCTCTTGTTATCTGTTAAGGTTGCATGAGAGCCGTAGCACCTAAAATCTGAAAGTTAAAATCTTAGAGCTTCAAAGCAATTTTTTTAAAGTCTCAATAGGTACATTTTTCACCGAAACACAGCCTGTCAGAGAGCACGGAAATATGCTTCTCTATTTTTTTTGAGTAGTGCATTTTTTCCTACACTATTAGGTAAAGCCAGCCAACATTTTTGTGGACCACCACTTACATCTTGTTTTCTCCGTGCACCCTTGGGAACCACCTGGACTACTCTGGTGTATTTTGTGGCTAGACGCTCATCCACGAAGTCTCTATCCCACCATATTTGGGTTATTGCTCATCAAGCTTTCTATTGTACAGTTTTACCAAAGTACAGAAATCGCTTAGCGAAAAGATTAGTATGAAAATATAAATAAATTGGATATTGTATGACTAATTTGGGTCACAATGACAATAACTATGATTTAATGCTGCGAAATTAACCGTTCATCGTCCGTGAATAGCTTTACTGAATAAATAGTTGATGAAAGCGCCTTTGTTGCAAAGAACTAGTAGTATTTTATTTATGCATGAAAGAAGCACAGGTCAACATGCTCCGACCACTTTGATTTTTTTTTTTTACCAACCAAATGTACTTGTATCTCCCAAGCATTTTTTAGCAGCCAACAGTATTAAAGAGATTAACCTGTATATTAGTTAAAATTTAGGCAGTGAATTAATTTTAACATACTTCTCCGAAGATTGCTAACGGGTTCTAAATATTACCGCCATATCTAATATGCCGCTAAAATCTTTAAGAATCAGTAGTGTCTTAATTTTTCGAAAATAATAATAAACTTACAGACATTATGATGAAACGCGCATAAGATCTGGACTAATCCTACTTAATATTCGCATGATAGCCTGAAAAGATGTGTTCATGGCTAGAAATCTTTATATGTATATTTTCGGGCTCTACAAATTATTTGTGTAGTATTATGTTCGTATATTATTTTCCATTTTAATCTCATTGCTTTTCATTGTTTACAAAATGCTTGTAATAACTATATTTTGACTCACCTCAATGAATGGTAAACATGAACTTCTCCATCGTTAGGTCATTATGCGGAAGATTATACTAGTTTCAGATTTCTAAAAGCCATAACAAATGTAACAACAAACAGTTTAAAGCGTTATTTTATATCTTTGGTAGTAGTAGAAGCTAATACAAAAGCGCGATCATGAATGAAAACTGGCAGACGTATTCAACGATATTGTCAAAACAACTCATCAATAGGCAGAGCAACCAATAAAATGTGTGACAAATGGTCACAACATCCAACTTATTAGTTGATCTAATGTTCTATTTACATAAGTATAAACACCAGCATTTTTTTGTGTTTTTTTTTTTTTAGATATAGAGTTACTATTTTTGGAAATGATACCTTAGTGAATTGAATGAAGCAACTACAAGCCGCTCAGCCACCATCGACGACTCATTAAATGACAATAAACACAAAAGCACAACAGGAAGTTAGATTCTTTAAGAAATTTGAAATTTCCAAATATTTACAAAGCAAAATATAAATCAACGGGGTATTTAATGAAAGAGTTCGCATTGTGTGTACCATTTCTGTGCGGGCTTAGTGGAAGGAAAGTGCGGTGTTCTATAGAGAAATTTGAACTGAATGAATCGATGAATGGTGCTTGAAGCGTTTTTTCATGCAAATGAATTGGCCAAAGCAGCATTCGCTACAATGGGGAGAGAGAGAACATTGCGGCTATGTAGACTGGATACGAGTAAGCTGGGCGGGCTAGCAAAGGCACGAGCAATGCAATTTTGAATGCATTGGTAGCTGCTGCACCCCAACGAACACAGTCTGTGTGTGTGTGTGCGTGTGCCTGCATGGCTTTAGAACTCAAATGAATATGTTTGTTCGAGCGGACATTTTGCTGCATTGGTAGATGCATTTTATGGCGGTTAAATGGTGAATGTGCATCGTAAAATCATAGTGTGGGCTTTAAGCCGTTACCGTTGCGCACAACGATCGCCAAAGAATGGTAATCCAAATGAATAGCTTCCTTAATGGCCAAGTCGTTGTTGGTCGGAGACGGGCGGTCGATGAACGGCCGTTCAGGCGGTCATAGAGCATAGAATATTTTTTTTTTTGCTTTTTTTTGCTGTTTTGTTTGTTAAATTTAAATGCTGTTGTACAAAATCAAATATGACAACAACAGCTGTGGTTGGTTGGTAGGCATTTGCATGAGGAATACTACATAGATGTACCTTGCCATCAGTGATTACTCTTCTGTCTGGCCATATAACTACGCACATTACATTGTACAATCTGTGCATTTAGTAAAAGCACATAAACTCGTGGGATTTGTCTTTTATCTTACTTACACACATAGTATGTATGTACGCACTTAAAAAAAAAATGATAATAATCCACCGGCATACAATTTGTACGCATGTTCCTCTTGCGTTTTTCACTGTGTGCGCGCGCATGCGCATTTTTGCTGCTGACACTGAGCATAGTCGTAAATTTTCAGCTTATTACCAATAATTTCAAGTGGCTTGTTAACAATTTAACACGTCTTAATCGTAAAATTTGTGATGATGCCTCTGCCTCTAAAATGTGTGTATGCAAAAATGCGGAGATAATAGCGATGGCAACAAGCTCAAATTGCTTGCATGTAAAATCGTCGGTTGACAGTTTTGAAGGTGTGAATGCAAGAATTAAAACACAAACACAAGAAGTTACAGCAAAAGCAAGAAAAAAACAAACAAAGTTGAAATTAAATTGAATGTTAAAACACAAAATCGCAGACTAAAGTGAAAACAGCAAAACGGGACAGAGGGAGAATTTGACAGCTTACGTGTAGCCTAGCAAGTTATGTATACTAAAATATTCTATAAATGATAAGCGAAATCATGTTCACATCAATTGACAGTTAATAATGACATGCATTGGGCAGCGTTCTTAATTCCAACGCCTACGCTCTGAGCGACAGTGGGACAACGGCGCGCAAAATGCATATGTATTTTTTGCCATCTTTACTCCGGACAAATTTTTTAAGCACTGCTTTGCAGACGAATAGTTCGTGCGGTGTATCGTTCGAGATAGAAATTAAGGCTGAACTTGATCTTATAAAATTTTTTTGGTACCCAAAGCTATCTGCTTGCTTGGTCTGTTTTAGGGCATTTCATATGTTGAAGACCGTATATTTCATCCGGCATGCGAGAATCGCTAACAGCTCGTCAGCTGTATGTTAGAAAAGAGAGTTTTGCAAAAGCAGGCCAACTTTGAGGTTTCGGAAGTGAATCCAACTTACAGAATACCCAGTAAGGTTCTCAATAAATATTTAGGGCTTAAACCCGATGAGCTATGCAAGTCTCTTGTCAACTTTTATTCACAAAGTGGGCGGAAGGACCATGAAAACATGTTTGACGATAATTCTATTGGACCCCAGCCGAGGGGATAGATTGTCCATTAGGGTGTAGTAATTTAATTTTGAAAAAAGTGTATGGCATATTCGAATTTTACGTTCGATTCTAAGCAAAAATTTTGAAAAACTATATACCAAAATTGACGTTTGACCCTCCCAGTTTTTATCCTCAAGAAGTTTGCATGGAGCGGTGTTTGAAGGATATGCGTGTAGAACATTGTTAAGGGAAGCAGACAAACTTCTTCATTAAGAAATTTACGTAGATGTTGGTGCATTTGCTGTGGTACCCTATGTCACTGCCTTTAGAATCATGAATAAAATTGTTATCTCGTCTTTTTCGTTAAGGGGATTTGAACTGAAGCAACTGAAGCATTAAAAATGCATGTTCGTATTAGATCATTTCTTCGCCCTGAGTGGTAACACTCTGAAATCAACGGAGTTGGTGTCTCACCAACCGGCTATGAAGTGTAAGCGATTCATTATTGTATTTAAAACACTGTCACCCATCCACAAACTCTGAACTTTTTGTCCAGCAGCAGGTTAGTGTTGTTACCTCAGCACCTCCTGACTAACTCGTTACAAAAGACTTAAGTCATAAACTTTATGACGTTTCGGAAAACAACACGATACTGAAATGTGCACACACGCACAGAACCATATGTAGTTATGTATGAATATATTTATGTGTTCGCATGTGTATTTGTGGCGGGTGTCATCAACGTAACAAATCGATTTGTGTTTTATATCGATTTGACTCCTTACCTCATATACATACATACTTATGACTGTCTTACCTACAGACATACATACATATGTATGTATGTACCAATGAGCGCCTACATACATATCTATCTACATGCAATTTACTGCAGTGCACAAGTACACCCATTTAAGCTGATCATTGTTGTTTTCTGTTGGCCGATGCACTTTTGTTTGTTGTTATTGCTGCCGTTTTATTGTGTGTCATTTGCATACAACATATCCATTGTGATCATTTTCGTTTTCGTGTCCGTCCAACTTGTCCAACTCACTGTGGGCTTCTGCTTGTCTTACCAAACATATGTACATATGTATGTATGTATGTATGCTTGTACCCACATATTTCCATACGCACAAACCAGTGTGCTTGTTTTCGCTAGCAGGCCAATTCTCAGAAGATTTTAATCTTCTACACGTTCACAGTTTGTTCGGCAATCAATGCGTTTTGCACACACTAAATTGCTGACTTCACCTCAGCTTAACTTACACACCTTTCACGCCCCGGCCTTGTTTGCATCATTTGCAAGACGGTTGGTGGTGCAGTGGTGTTCATTTCGTTGTTATTGTTGTTACTCGCTGTTGCACAAGCGAGCCAAGCCAATACCTTTTGTAATTGTCCTGCTAAGGTGTTGTTGCTTTTGTTCAATACCGATTTTTATGACTTGTCGTGTCTGATAATTTTCTGATTTTAATGTGCGAAATTAAACATCACATTTTTCAACACACCATCGCCACCAACACCAGCTCAGACTATAAATGGGCACTGCAGTAGTGGCTTGAGCAATCATACATATATGCATATATGGATGCATACTTAACCCAGTTGTCAATAAATAATATAAAAAAAACTTTTTAATATACCACGCTTTTATAAATGGACTAAAAAGTAGAAAATAATACTTCTCAGTCCCATAGAATTTGTTTTGATAACTTTTGATTTTGAAATTTTAGCAAAAGTCATTATAAACAATCTATGAAATTGAAAATGAAAAGCGTGGGGCGCATGTAATACACTTGAATTGATATGAAAAGTAATATATGTATGTATGTATGTGGGTATATGAATAACGACCGCTTAAAATCGATTTCAAAGTTCTACTTTCGCTGTAGAAATTTTAGGTCTACGTTATGTAGTTTGACTATTGTCAATTAAATCGAATGCTTTGTATTGCATGCGCTCCACGTTTTTCATTTTCAATTTCATAGATTGTTTATAATGACTTTTGCTAAAATTTCAAAATCAAAAGTTATCAAAACAAATTCTATGGGACTGAGAAGTATTATTTTCTACTTTTTAGTCCATTTATAAAAGCGTTGTATATTAAAAAGTTTTTTTTATATTATTTATTTTCTACTTTTTAGTCCTGTCTGAATAAAATTTTGCAATAGATATTAAAATAATTCAACGATATTAATAGAAAGGTGCACACACATGCATTTACATGTATGTACATACAAACGAGCACCAATTAATTTTATTTAAAGAAATGACGTGTCGTATATTTCCGCTGTAGTAAACGTAGTACATAGGGCGACATCTAGATGTCATCTACCTCGCCCTATTCACTACAGCTGTCGCCCTATGCACTACTTCACTACAGATGGCGCCCTATGCACTATGCTTTTTTATAGGAACTTTTCAAAGCAAAGCTTTATGGTGTCGGACACACAACATTGAAAGTTTCTGGAACACAACATTGCAAGTTGATAAAAGCGTTGTAAAAAAAGGTTTAAAGAAGCCCTTCTTATATTCTGAAGCGATAAGCTTCCCTGAACGATTTTTACTGCTTTTTGTTTTGTATAAATAGAATGACCAGAATTTCAAAAGCTTCGGGTTCAGTTTCTCTTTGATTTGACCAACAAGTCACTTCTGGCTATGAGAAATAGTTGAAGGTCTAAGTGAAGTTTTCTCAAGTAGGCTTTAAAATTTGTTTTCCCTTTAAACAAATTTTTTTAGAACAAATGTGTTTACAGGGCAGATCAATTTTAAAACCGCCTCGAGAAAACGGCCCTGTTTTATTTTTAGAAATATTATTTTTCATCCATCATTATCATTATAGCTTTTATTACTTAAGAAAAGTTTTTTTTATCATTAAATTTTAAGAAAGATATATTTTTCTCTTCTTTTTTAGTACATTTTTTATAAGTTTAATTTTCTTTTCATTTTTTAGATGTTATTGTTTTGAAAATATATTTTTTTTAATTTAATTTAATTTTTATAAACTTATTTTTTTATTATTATTTTATTTATTACCTTTGTTTTTCAATTTTATTTTTAAATTATTTACTTAAAAAAAATAAGTATTTTTTTAATTCCATTCCATTTAATGGACTTATTTTATTTATTATTTTTTTTGACTTAAATGTTTTGAAAATATATCTATTTTATTTTATTTTTTTGTTTTAAGCAACTTCTTCTTCCTCTCTATAATATTTTGTTTATATTTTAAGTTTAGTTTTTTGTTTAGAATACAGTTTTTTTATTTAATTTTTGTGAACTTATTTTTCCTATTTTTTTATTTATTTCGGTTTTAGATTACGTTATTTTAAAAATACTTTTTTAATTGCATTTAATTTATTTCATTTATTAATTTTTTTAATTTTTCTATTTAATTAAATTTTAAGAAAATTATTTTAATTTTTTCTTCTTATTTTCAGATTTAATCGTTTTAAACTTTTATAAGTCATTTAATTTTAATAAATGTATATTTTCACCGTCCTTTAATGCATTTTTTATTTATTCAATTTTCTTTTAATATTTAGATTTTTTTGTTTTAAAAAGAATTATATTTTATTTAATTTAATATGTTTGAACTTACTTTTTTATTATTTTTATTTATTTCCTTACTTTTTTAATTTTAAGATTTTTTAATTCCAGTTACTTTAAAGGTACTTATTTTATTTATTTTCTTTTCGATTTAAATGTTTTAATTTTTTTGTTTGCTTTAAAGAAATTAATTTAATTTAATTTAATTTCTATTGTTTTGAAAACATTTTTTTTTTAATTGAATTTTTGTGATTTTATTCTATTTTATTTTGTTCTTTAGATTATATAATTTTAAAAAGACCATCTTTAATGCCATTTAATTCTTTGGAACTTAGGTTATTTTTTTTTTTTTTATATTTAACTTTTTTATCTCATTTAATTTCTAGAAACTTATTTATTTTTTCTTCTTCTCATTTTAGATGTTGGTGTTTCCGATTCTTTTGTCTGTCGAAAGATTGTGGTGAATTGAAAGACAATTGTAAGAATCGCTCGGGAGGTAGATTTGGGAAAACACCATCTTGTCTGCTTTCGAATGGTAGCAATATTGGAAGATCTTCTAATACAGTTATTTTTTTTTTTGGCTATAGGAACCTTATCGATTGGTCCCCTAAATGGCAAGGTGTATAACCTCAAGTGCCAGGTTTGTAAAACGTGGTGTTTATCCTTCAGTCAAAGTTTTTCCTTTATTTGTTGGTGTAGTTGTCCTCATCGGTGTGAACGAAATTGTTGTGATTTCTAATATCCTGGCGTGGAATACCATAAAGACGGTGTTGTTCTTCTTATGATTGAATCTCTATTCTTATTTGCTTTGTGGATGTTGATTTAGAAGTGGTGGAGGTTGGTTTGACAGATGATTTCGTTCGTATTTGTTTATTTGTTTTTAACAATTAGAGACGGAACACTGAACGACACAAAAGACGGCACAACTGGGCTGTAAACACAAACACAAATATACAATTTGACTAATTATAAGATTAAACGAAAAGTTTAGTTATATTTATTTTTATTTTTTTTCTATGTACTTAGTATTTGCATACATATATATATATATTTTTTCCATGATTTTTTTTTCTCATTCTTATGTGTTGGATGCTTATAGTTTTATTTACCTTGTTTTTTTTCTTCACTATAGTGCTTTATCCAGCCCACTTCTGTGTAGGAAGTCAATAAGTTGTTTGTAAATGGTGGGATTTTTTGAAAGCAGAATTTTTTGAAGTTGTGGTACGTTTGGAAAAGCGTATACTCGTTTCCTAGAGTACTGTATGTACTGCAGCCGAATATAAGGTGTTCCGCCGTTTCCTTAGTGTTGCACGTATTACAGGTATCCGACCTGTAATGCTGAAATTTGTTTAAGTACGTATTGCCGTATGTATGTCGTGTAGCAATTATGTTAAATAGTTTTATCTCGTATGCTTCTAAGTTCAGTTTTTTGTTTTTAAACTACGGATTGTTTATTTTCAATGTGCAAAATTTCGCAATGTCAGGGTCCCAGTTTGGTAGTTTGTTGTTAAATTCGTCTTTGGTTTCAGTCCACAGTCTGGTGCTTATTTTTAAGAGTGCTTCATTGGGGGTTAATTTAGGAGAGAGAGATTTACCGAAATCAACTGCAGTTTTAGCAGCAATGTCGGCTTTTTCGTTGATAGTTATACCAACATGACTGGGTGTCCATACTATCATTATGTGTTCAATGTTGGATCTGTGTAGTTTGTTGTGAATTTTTGCCACAAGGAAGTTCTGTGTGGTGTGACTGTCAAGGGCTTTGATTGCTTTATTTGCCATCACCGATGCATCAGTCGCATATATGTAGTAGCCATCATCCTTCAAAGTGTTGATTTTTTGGCTCTAAGTTGTGTGGAGGAGAATTTTTTTTTTTTTGAGTTCGATAATTCAGATTGAAAAAGGGTAATATTGTTATGTCAAAGGCAACATTTGTGTCTATGTTATTTATGGTTACTTTGAATTTTTCATAGGTTTTACTATAGCTTGAATTATTGGCAGGTTTGTCTTGTTATTGTGTTCTTAGTGCCGGGTTGAGGAACCACTGTTTGACCAGTTCTTTAGCTGTCAGCCACACTGCTCTAGATAGAGGTCGGAGTTCGCAGGGTAGCGCGTATCGCATAAGTGTTGAGGTAGTAGGTGGTACTCCTAGACATCTCCGTAGAGTTTCATTAACGCTCGTTTGAAGTAGCTTGCTGTAACCTTTTGGTGCATTGGCGTAGCTGGTGCTGGTGAGTTACAGCTTTTTTAATGTTGCTAATATGTACCTTGACAGTTGAGTTTGCGCTGATGGTTCTTCCTAACCACTTAAAGCATTGGACCTCTCCAATGTTTGTGCTGTCAATTGATATGTTAAACTGTTGTCGGTTATTTGCGGGCACATACATGAATTTTGTCTTTTCTAATTCTGCTATTTTATCTTGTAAATTTAGAACTGCTGCTGTTTTGTTTGAGTTTGTGCATACTATGGCTAGGTCGTCAGCGAATTGAAATAGGTGGGTGTAAGGATTGTTGATTTCGTGTAGTTGCGCTGTATATATATTAAAAGATGTTGGAGATAAACAGCTACCTTATGGCAAACCTTAGTATATTTCTACGGCATGTTTTCCTAAGGTGAGAGTCCTTTGGGAGAAAAAGTTATACGTCCAGTTTGTTATTGATGTTTCTATGTTAGTCTGTAATAGAATATTGTAAAGTGCAACTAAGTCAATTCTGTTGTAGGCATCCGACATATCTAAAAAACATATAAAAACAAGGTTTCTACTGTTCTTTTTATCCGCGACTAGATGAAGCATCTCATTGATGCACATCGTAGCTGATCTTAGTTTACGGTATGCATAGCTACTGTTCGGTAACTTTTTGTTAGTTTCTAGGAAATCGTTCAGCGATTCCTTAACCATCATATTTATCCTTTTGGCTACTACTGATATTAGTGAAATGGGTCTATAGTTGTTTATGTCTTCTGTGCTTTTATTTGCTTTAAGGATTGGTATTACTTTTATTAATTTCCATGCATTTAGGACTCTGTTGCTGTGAAAGTGTTCTTTCAAGGATGTTAGTAAATTTTGCTTCGCCTCGGTAGACAGTTGCTTTAGGATATTGAATGTGACCCTGTCGAGCCCTCCAGCTGTTGATTATTTCTTCGCTAGTAATTTTTCAAATGTCATGTATGAGAAATCAATGCACCCGTTTGACGCGCTTGGAGACGCGGCGAATGATGGACAACACATGATATTGTGATTGCTAGCATGTTCTGCTTGTTCTCTTATAATTTCTAGATAGTTGCGGTCGTCTTCGGATGCCCAGATTTGCAATGGCCTTTTATTTCCTTTGACATTTCTTATGAAATTCCAAGCATTTTTGAAGTTAGGGTTAGCATTGATGTCTTCAATTTTGTTGTTATAGCTAGATTTTTTTGCTTTCTTCACTGCATCTTTCCATTCACCGGTTGCCTTAATTGATTCCTCCATATCTTCAATGCGGTTTGTATGATTTGCTTTTTTTCGTTCTGCCACGTGTAGTCTGTAAAGTTTATTGAGTTCCTCGCTCCACCATTCTTTAGGAGTACGATTAGACTTGTTTAAATCAATTTTTATTTTGTTCTTGACATTGTCAATCACATTTGTGAAATTTTCTAGGTCATCAAAGCTTACCTGCGCTAACTCCCTGGCCAGCTGTTTCTTGGGGATAAAGAAGTTGGGTTTCTTTCCGGTGTTTGTTATCTCTATGGTGATAGGAAAATGCTTGCTGCCTCCTAGGTGTACTTGGTGACATTGCCATTTTATCAAACTGCTATTAATATTTGTGAACGTTATGTCTATTGCAGATCTGGCACTGTTTCCGGTGAGGTGGGTAATGGTTCCGCTGTTGATGCATTGAAGGTTTGTATAGCTGATTTCGTTGATAATAATGTTTCCTTTAGAGCTGCATATTCTGTCTCCCCATGCCTGATGTCTAGCATTGAGATCACCAGCAAGAATAACGTTTTCGTGGTTGTTTAGTGCGATAAATAAACGATTTAGTTCGTTAGTGAAAATAGTAGTGTTGATGTTGGGAGGGAAATATATATTACAAATTGTTATGTTTCTGATTAAATTAGTGGTTTTAGCTATAAGGATGTCATAAGTGGAGACAAATTTGATTTTAGTGAATTGAATACCTTTTCTGAATCCTATTCCTACACCACCGTAGCCGTCAGTTTTGGTTTTTCTAAGCAAGTTGAAGTTGAATAGGTTATGAATTGTTGTTACTATTAAAAAGGTCTACATAATTTTTATTGCTTTATAACATACAAAATATTGTAATATTTTTATCGAACTGGTCATCATTGGTTATTGAAATTTTGTCTTGTATGTGTACCTTACCTATATTTTGAATAAGGTTAACTAATGGGTCGTTTATATCGATGTCATACCTTTTTATTAGAAGATTTACTAGCCTCTCTATCTCTGTAACCTTAGTCCAGTTCGCCATTTCATATACAGGCTGTATGCTTGCTTTAACTCTCTGGGTGTTGTAGGTTGGCTTTGGTGGTGCGACTTGATTGTATTTGGTAGTAGTGAGTTTTCTGTTAACCACTTCGTCGTTATTGATCATTACGGTTTTTTTGTATCTAAATGTGGGAAGTTACCCTCAAAATCTTCTAAAGCAGAGAATCTATTATTATTGTTGAGATTGTACATCCCTATTGCCTCTGATTTGGATACCTTTTTAATGGTCATTATTTCTACTACCTTTTTTTCTGTTGCCCATTGCATTTGTTGCTTTCGAGTGAATTGTGGGTGTCGCCTCCACATAGTGTGCATGATTTTGTGTTCTGGTTACATTTGCTATTGCAGCCCTCTGCTTTACCACAAACTATATATCTGTTCTTCCGCAGTTATAGCAGTGGCTAATTCTTGGATGTAATGGACAATTTTTATCTTTACATAGAATATTTCAATTGATTCTGGTATCTCGTTACCTTCAAAGGCTATCTTTAAAGAGTACGTCGCGATGAATTTTTCTTTGTCATTAAGGTCTCTTCTGGTAATCCTTGTAATTGATGTGATCGGTATGTCTGAAACTATATTGTTCTTTATTTCCTACTCCGTGAAATTAAGTGGAATTTGCCTCGCTACTCCGGTGGTTACCACCATGCTTTTGGGTATGAAAGTCTCATATTATTTTTGAGTAAGTCCGGGTTGTCTATGCATTTGTTTGCTGCTTCGAAATTTTCAAAAAAAAATTTATAATGCGACCTACCTATTGCTTTTATTTTTTTTATTCCTAAAATATTAAAGTTTTTTATTTTGTCCCACAGGAAGAGACCATTTCACATTTTGTTGTTTTCGATCATTGTAGATTTAGAAGTGTCCACTAGTACACAAAAATCACACTTGTGCCTATTTGTGTAGCGCACACTGTTGGCGTTTTCTTTTTCGCTCTTTTCTTTATTCGCACCGCTACTTTCTGTTGTATCTATTTGTTCACTGTCCGGTTTTATGTGGTTTGCATTTTCACTGCTTTCGCTGATTTTGTCCGCATTGTCCGTTAGGTTTATTTGCGCATTTTTCACGTATGTGCCTTTTTTAATAAGTATACCTTGTAACGGGATAAACATGCCGTTATTACTTTCAGTTTTAGTTTTTTTGGTTTTGCTAGAATTTTCTGTCTGTTTGGTACAGTCATCGTCAGTTTCGGAATTTCTTCCTGCCTTGTCACCTTTTGCTACTCT